GTGTGTGTGTGTGACCTAAATTATAAGCCTGTGATTTTTTTTAAAACTGAGCTTACTAAACTCAGTTAGATGGAAACCGAACAAGTTAACAAAGCTTCAAAACTTTTTAAATCCAGATTCTTTAGTCTTGATTCTGTGTGCTAGAAAAGGGAAACCAACATTTTTAAAAATTTTTAATTGTTTTTTGGGGGGTTTTGAGTGAGGGAGAGACACTATGACATGAATTCGTGGGAAGTATGCCAGTTTGTCACAGGCCTCGACTGTGCCCTGCATGATGGAAGTTATCACTGACACTCTCAAAAAGAGTAAATGAATGATTGATTGATTGTTCGAATTGAATTTTATTTTTCAACTGTTTTTAACGAAAGTACATGCATTGTTGAAATTTTACGGAGTAATCTGCTTTGATTTGTATACAAAAAGGAAGAAATATTGAAATTCGCAAGCTGAATTGACATTTTAGAGGGACTATCTCTACACCACCAATTCGAAGATGGAGAATAAAAAACTAAAGTTACATCTACAGCATTAGTTTAGTTTTACGGAAAAGAAAGCAAGACTTTGCTAAACCTCTTTTACAAACTTTGCATTGGCTTCCTGTTGAGAATAGGATTGTTCAAGTTGGCCACCTTATGTCACAAATGTTTGAATGATAATGCACCATTATATTTATCAAATCTGTTAAGACTGTACATTCCAACTCGCAGTTTAAGGTCATCAGCTGACCAAAAAAAAGATTATTTTACCATCTATGAAACTTAAAACAATGGTTGAAAGGGCATTTGAATATCAAGGCCCCAAGATCTGGAATGCTTTACCAAGTACTTTAAGAGAAATCAAATCTTTTGATTCATTCAAATGTCAGCTGAAGTCGTTTCTGTTTTTAAATAAATAAGATGAATATTTGGGGTAAATTTCTTTAGTCAGAACACAACGTTTCATGTTACTGTTGTACGTTGTACAGTATTGTAAAGCGCTCAGAGCCTGTGCACTTTAAACGGAGTTGAGTGCTATATAAATGTCATTTATTATTATTATTATTAAAGTGCTGTAATTATGACTGTCATCAATACTCAAATACTAAAATGAAATTGTGACAAACTGGGTCTGTGACAAACTGGGCAGCCCCCACAGTTAACAGGAACAGTTACCTTCTCCGCTGGGAATACAACTCAGGGTAAGGTGGTGGGGACATCGCAGCTGATCGAGGCATCCCAAAAGATTGGGGTGGGGCCATCCTGAATAATCCGGGCATTGCGGGTGGTGGGGGCATACTGAAGGAAGGGGGTATTGTGGGTGGAGGGGGAATACTGAATGATGCGGGTATAGTGGACGGTGGGGGAATATCGAATGATGCGGGTATAGTGGACGGTGGGGGAATATTGAATGATGCGGGTATTGTGGGCGGTGGTGGGGGCATCGCGGGTGGTGGTGGGGGCATCGCAGCTGGTGGGGGCTTCGCGGCTGGTGCGGACTTCCTTTGTAGTGGTGATGAGCGTTTCGCAGGTGATGGAGGTATGTAGCTGGTACTCATTATCTCGCCACCGTGTTTATTAACGCCACAACTGCAATACATAGAGGGACACCAAAACAACGAAACAATATTAGCAATGTACTTTTAGATGGAGAAACAAAACGCATTGAGATAAAATTAATGCTGAATTGTAATATTTTTATGCCCCCGCCCCTCCCCGTAATCGACAAAATTTACATAATTTATGAGGCAGGCAACTCTGACCCTGACCGTCCGGACCAACCAGTGCTGGGTAGGATATCGCATACCAGACCAGGAGATGGACAGTTTGGTTTAAGAAACAGTTTTACGGCACTTGCAGCACATTAAATAGATCTTGTTAGTGTCGAAGAGTACAGATGTATAGCTAGACAGTTTTTTGTGTGTTTTAGTAAGAGATTTACAGCACTTGCAACACAAAAAGGTCATATAAGTGCCACAGATTAGAAGTGTTAAAAGAGAGTAACAAACACAAAAAAGAAGGAGGGGAGATAGAGAAGATAGGTTTTTTATAGGAAAGAAGGAGCACTCCACACCAGAGCACCCGCCAACCACCCACCTAGATACAGAATAATCAGTACTTTGTTAGTATTCTCATAGTTCAGGCTTTAAAGGTCAAAGGTAATACATGTTCTTACTTTACAAGATGATGAAGATGTTAGGAGTTTCATGGAAAATGGTAAAAATGACCTTCTTTTTTGTTCTAATAGAGGTTTTATGGCGCTCGCAACTGCATAAGGTCATATGAGCGCCAAGGGGTGGATGTCAACAGAGAAGTCCTTACAGGAAATCAGACTTACTCTGCTCACCTCTCTAGCTTCAACAGCACAAATTCTGCTTCGACTATCAAGGCACCCCGAAAATAGCAGGTCACAAGAGTGTGACAAACATACAAACGAAGTAGAGGAAATGACGATAGTAAGGATTAGGAAAGATAAAGCAGCAGTTCCCTGTTGTAGTTCAGGCACAGCTATGAGCATGACATTGTTGGATCAGCCCATTTACAATTCTACTGTGCATGAACGAGAAATGCCCCCCCCCCCCCTTTCCTTTTGGGAATGGCCTAAAGACACTCAATCAGTGGCACCGCCCCGGGGGGGGGGGGGGGGGGGGGGGGGGAAATGACCTTCTATATCTTTTTTTGTTACACTATGAAAGAACAAGTCAGACGGACAGACAGACAGACAGACAGACAGACAGACAGACAGACAGATAGGCTTTTTAGATTTTTAGTTTTAGGCCTATTAATCTTGAGGCACTTGCAACATAAGAAAGTCACAAAGTACCAAAGATTTGAGGCGCTTCTGGAGAAAAACAACACACACAGGAAAAAAAGTAGGAGAGATAAGGACAATAGGTTTGATAGGAAAGAAGGAGCAAACCACACCAGAGCATCTGCCAACCACGTACTACTACTAATAATAATAAATAGCAGTGTATAGCGCATATCCCCGCTCAAAAGCAAGCTCTATGCGCTTTACACTATATTATTACCCAAGCAGACCATAGAACACTCCGAAACATTCTCAGCTTCCCGGGAAGCAAACAGCGCAAGCAGCTGATTAAGCGCTCAAACGCTAACAAACTGACAAGATCTTTCGCTGTCTATAGCCGGGTACCCATTCCCACCTGGGTGAAGTGAGGAAAATTCGTGTGAAGTGCCTTCCCAAAGACACAACGTCGGGTCCCTGACGGGATTCGAAGGCACGACCTTATGGTTGCGAGTCCGAGTGCCTAGAAGAACACTATAACATTCATTCGGACATTCAACAGACAGAGTTACCTGGTCGGTTTTAGTGCTTTAGCTGGCTGTGAGACTGAGAGAAGATCTTCAGCTGGCTGTGAGAATGAGATAAGATCTTCAGCTGGCTGTGAGAATGAGATTAGATCTTCAGCTGGCGGTGAGGCTGAGAGAAGATATGAAAAGAAACGAACAAATTGATTATTTTGACGAGAGCCTGATTCCACCACGTTGCATCACAAATGTAACCAATAATGAAATCTCCATCACAATTGGTCGCTTTTAAGCACAAGGGGGGTTATCTCGAAAAATGCTGTTTTGAGCAAATAGAAGCTAAAGTTTTTGCCCCTTGTTCAGTTTCTTTAAAAGACAAGGAGAGTCTTGAATTTTGCTCGGGTGGCGGCCGAAGCCTACTCTTATCGATTTTAGACCACCAAGGGATCTTTAACGTGCACAACTTGCACACGGGACCTCCGAGATTAGCCGTAGAAAGGCTGCAGAAAGAATCAGAGGAGGGGCAAAGGAGGTGAATGGGTGGGGGGCAGAAAGAGGAGACGAAAGCAGACCACAGAACATTGCTACAGAGTAGGAAAGGAGGTGAAAGGAGACAAATTTAGAGAAGAAAATTGTTTGGTCGCTACCCGGATTCGAACCCGGGACCTTTGAATGACAGGCGAACACCTTAACCTCTAGGCCACGAGAGCCCCCTAAGACATTCAATATAACACAGTACTGGTGAAATGTATGGTCTCAGCATGGTGAGTACAGATCTGTCATGTGATGAAACCTGCAGCAACACGACAGGGGGGGGGGGGGGCTCTCGTGGCCTAGACGTTAAGATGTTCGCCTCTCATTCAAAGGTCTCAGGTTCGAATCCGGGTAGCGACCGAAAAATTTTCTTCTCTATAATTGTCTCCTTTCACCTCCTTTCCTGCTCTCTAGCAATGTTCTGTCGTTTGCTTTCGTCTCCTCTTTCTGCCCCCACCCCTTCACCTCCTTTGCCCCCTCCTCTGGGCTCCTGCCTCTTTCTGCAGCCTTTCTACTGCTACTCCTTGGCACCTTCTTACTGCTGTCTTTCAGCCAGACAACTAATCTTCTGGTAGGAAAGATCTATATATATAGCCTTCTCGGACAAGGGCGAAATATCTCGGAGGTCTAGTGTGCAAGTTGCGCACGTTACAGATCCCTTGGTGGTCTAAAATCAATAAGAGTAGGCTTCGGCCGCCACCTGGCCGAAATTCAAAATTCCCTGCCAACTGAAAAAGTTTAATGTGTTTAATAGGACCTTGTGCAGTTGCAAGCGTCGTACAACGCTTACAAAAAAAAATGACTACTACACCACAGACGCCAGAAAGAAATGGACAACACTGAGAAAGCAACCAAAAAAAACTACCTTCAACATCAGGAAGGAGGCTAGGTTCATCAACATGAGCTGCCATTAACTGTGGGGTTAAAATCTTTCTTCTCTGAAAATGGCCGCCAAAGTCTGTTAACTTCCATAGCCCGAGAGTCCTGGGAGACTGGAAATTTACATTTTTTGTGCCTTTAATCAACGTTTTTCAGTAAAATCCACATAGAAAAGTGTTTTCACAAGGACATAAAACGTGTTGAGCCAAAAAAAGAAAATGAAAAAAAAAATTGCCCATAGGCCAAAAAATGCCGATTTCTTTGATTTCATTATTTTGACGACTGCCTGATTTCACCACGATGCCTCACACACAAACACACACACACACACACACACACACACACACACACACACACACACACACACACACACACACACACACACACACTTTCGTAAACTAGTTTCCTATATATATTATATATGTGAGGCATGCTGACAAAATGAGTTACTTCTCGCAATTCACAGATGGAGATATTGGCCAAAAATCTACAATGGGTCACATTTGTAGATTTTCTATTGATGCCATATTCTTTAACTATAACCTGTCTTTTATTATTTCATACTTATAAATTCTAAAAACTTCACCTAAAAGCGTGATGTATCTATTTCCTTAAGGCTTGAATCCGAGCAGTAACTCATTTTGGCTGCACGCTTCACATATCATATTATATATATATAATATCATCACCATCCAGTGCCAGACCTGGGACAGACGTCGACGATCATGGCTCTCTATTCATTCCTTTGCCCGGATGCTCTAAAAAAAAAAGCTACGTTTCCCTGATCTTTCCCTGTTACCCATTTGTTTAGGTTCCCCAAGTATGTTGCTCTGGGCCAAACCCTGCCTCGCTTGCCTTCAACTTTGCCAGAGACAGCTAGATGTTCAAGACCATTACGTCTATTCAGGTGACCCAAAAACTGCATTTGTCGTGTCCTGATTGTTTTTAACATTGAACGACCAACGTGGGCTTCATCAAGCACTACCTCATTTGATTTCTTTTCCTTCCACGATACTCTTAGCAGTCTAAATATTATATATATATATATATATATATATATATATATTATATATGTGAGGCATGCTGACAAAATGAGTTACTTCTCGCAATCCACAAATGAAGATTTTGGCCAAAAATCACCATTAGGGTCAAACTTGTAGATTTTCAGTTGATGCCATATTCTCCAACTCTAACCTGTCTTTTATTATTCCCTACTTATAAACTGTAAAAACTTCACCTATAAGCATGATGTATCTATTTCCTTAAGGCTTGAATCTGACAAGTAACTCATTTTGTCAGCACACTTCACATATATATATATATCTATATATATATATATATATATATATATATATATATATATATATATATATATATATATATCCCTTGGTATACAGTATATATGTCAGGCGCACATTAGTTGGAGTCTGTATGTGTGTGTATGAGTGTGTATGTGTATGTTTGTGTGTGTGTATGTGTGTATGTGTGTGTGTGTATGTATGTATGTATGTATGTGTGTGTGTGTGTGTGTGTGTTTATGTGTGTGTTTGAGAATGTGTGTGTTCATGTGTGTTCGTGTGTGTGTGTGTGTGTGTGTGTGTGTGTGTGAGTGCACATGATGGTGTGCGTCAAAAATTAATGTGTGAATATATAATACAAGTGTGTGTCCATAAAAATAATTGAAAGTTCCACAAGTGCACTTACAACTTACAACATGCTCAATAGGA